AAAACGCACTCAGGCTTAAGTCCAGGGAAGTATGAGCCCTTTGTCATTTTTCGAGATCAAAGTCATATACAGAGCGCAGGACCATCCAGGCAAGGAAATAAGTGAATCTATTATTAAAAGAAGTCAGCGACCAGACCTAAACGTACAGGGCTCATCATGACCATATATGCGAATGTGAATACTGCCTTAATGCGCGATGCTAGCTTGAAATCTTTTGAATGTGTGAAGGATGCCTGATGCCTGATGCACGATGCTTGCGTAATTCAAGTCGCTTGCATGCCTAATTGATGTGAGATGCGTGATGCCTCCATACTTGAAATCGCTTGCATGTATGAATGAAGCGTGATCTAGGATGCCTGTTGCTATTAATCTGTTTGCGTGCACGCCTATTTTTCACGCATCTTAATCTTTAATTCGATGTACACTGTATATTATTAATGGCGGACAATTGCTTCTTGTGTAATCCCCTAAATGTTGGTGACTTGAAAAACTGGGCCTCGCTGTTCGACAAAAAAGCCGAAAAAATCAGATGGGATCAGCAGGCAATTTTTAATTTAAAATTGCTGCTCATATCTGTTTTCATAACGGCATACAGCCGAAAAATCAATAAATATACCTCTCCTTTCCGCGGTTATTCTACGAGATATATCTCTACTGTCTTATCTACTTCGTGAAGTTGGTTCAGTCATTATGATATGGTATTTGCCTTCATCAAAACCAGTCGCGTTTCCTCGTCTGGCCTTTGATACGCATGCTAATCATCTCGGGACCAAATGCACTAGACTTCAGATAAGTCTTCATCATGCAAAACGTGCCATCCCCAACGACGTGTTCACTTACTTGATGAAGGAGCAGTACTCATTTAGACCTTAGGTCAACTTGACTTTGAGATGAAAGAAGTGACAGTTTGTTTGCCGTGCGGCTAGCATCTTAAGCTCTTTGCCCCTCGGTCCGTGCGCAGACACATGACAGCCTCCTAGCGTCGCCCGAGGCGTCACCCAACCTCAGCATCACTCGATCGGTCCCGGTGTGTATGCTCAATGTTTGTCTATGTGTGGGTGTGTTTGCCCCTGTGCCATTACCTGTTTTTATATTGTTGACACGGGAAAATGAAAATCCATTGAGAAGATGGAGGTGATGTGATTATGAACGCCGATGCTGATGCGGGAACCTTCGGCCACGGCTGTACATATGCGATCTTGCAAAAAAACAAAACTGAAAGTCCTAGAACTAGCGCACCACGGCAAAACAGCAGTGTGCCTTATCCGAACTCATGCTCGGCACAGATAAAAGCGCACACTTGGCGCGAAAAACGTGGTGAACGATGGTGCATATAATGCGGCGCACGGGCGCCAGTATCGCCGGCAGCCAGGCGGCGGCCCGGCCTCCGCCTGGGGACGGGATCGGCGGGGAGCAGCGGCTTACCAAGGACTGGCCGCGGACTGGCATAAACGATGCTACATCCACGATGGGGAGCTCATAAAATTGGTTGGGGTCCACCCAATGATAAAACCGCTCGCAAAATTGGTCCGACCTCAACGATAAGAGATAAGCGATCAGATCAAGGATAAGGAGATGAGACTGAGACCCAGTTTTATGAGAAAAAGCAGGATTTTATAGCTTGGCGAAAGCCTTATTTGCGACTTTCAACGTATGGCTTCAGACCTAGTGTCTGAAGTGTTCATGTGCTCATGTGTCAGTGCCATTATTTGAAAGTTTTCGTTGGCGAGCGTCTCATCTATACAACCTGGACCGACACATGCGGTCGCTGGAAGGGACAAGCTTTGCTATCTCAAAAAAATAAACGTTCGATGGCAGGTGTCATGAAGGGTTAGAGCAAGGTTAAACACTGAAGTGAAATATGAACTTTCTTTCCCTGCTCTACGAATCACCGCGTGGATGCATGCGGCTGCTGCAAGTACTGACTCGCAACGGAACGAACGAACAACAACGGAATAGATGCTCAGTCTATTTCTAATGGTTGAACCATGCACCAAAACGATCGCAATGTTGTGAATGATGTGTTCACGTTTAACTTGCATTAAACCAACAGGCTATCCCTGAATTCCGTCCGCTTTTTTAAGACATTTTGGTTCTGAGACTTTGGGGGGTCTTATATGCCACACCTTGACACATCGGAAACTATCTTACACATGGGACGGAAGCTGTCTTAAAGCTGGCCATGTAGTCACCTATTTCATTACAGTCGACACGTTCTGACAAACGTCACGGTTGTGACATGCATCGGTGTCGATTGTAAGTCTGTCTATTACAGCAGATCAAAATTCATACCACCCGCTTCATTGTTACGATACGGTACATATCTAACTTAGGATTAAAAACGTCTGCAAAATTGTGCAAGCTTGCAAACGAATTCAACGATGTAGGCATCACGCATCACGTATCATTCATACATGCCATCGATTTCAAGTAGACAGGCATCACGCATCGACATCACTCATGCATGTAAACGATTTCAAGCTAGGCATGCATCACGCAT